ACCCTCACAGCATTTGTATTAACCGGGACAGCTCCTACACTCAAGTTTAGCACTGAAACAAGACCAGAACCTTCAAGGTATTTTCTCAGCCCTCAGTAAAACCTAGCTGAGTTTCATCTCTTTGCTCAAAGGTAGCCCAAAGTTATGGAATCATTTACATCCCATTCAGCACCTTAAAATGGCACTGGGATGGAGTGGGAAATTCAGTTATTATTAATTATTGCTGAGATATTCATTAATACTTTCTGGTTTGCCTTCCTGTTGTCAAATTGTACCTTTTTAGTGCTGCTGTCTCCACGTCTGCCACAAATCCTCAAAGGTTTGCTTTTTTGGTGAATTACCAGCAAATTCCATTTTTTTATGAAATTCTGTAGCCATTAATTATAAATACTTCTGATTATTTTTTCAAAGTGCAAAACTCCTGAGCAATCACTGCTGTATGCTAGATAACAGCCTAGCAACCAGAGGATACACTGATGCTTTCAGTCACCTGTGATCCCATGAAAATGCTGGAATTGGAGATTACAGTGACATAAAGAGACTGGGGAAGTCCAAGTGTCTTTCTCTCCTTTGCATAGATTCTGATTCCTCAGGAAGTGCTATAAAGACATGGTTCTGTTTTGGCATGTGGAGATTTATGTCTTTGCAATAGGAAATGTTTCAAATTTGTAATCTGTGTAAACATATGTAATCACTAGGAAGCTAATCTTCATCAAGTCTTCTTTGGTAGTTGCCTACTCCATTTTGGCTGTTGTGTTTTAATTTACCAGTCTGTAGCTGGCACCAAAACCTGCAAGCAGCAACAACAAAAAAACCTCAGATCTTTTGTTTTTGAGTTTATAAGATACAATTTTATATTATTTATTTATTTTTAAATGTTTTTTGATATTTTTGATTTTATGAGATATACAGGCATCCACTAGTAGACTGAAGTAGGGCTATGGCTGATTCGCTGCTGTCTCCAATGTTAAAAGCATTGGCTAACACATAGATTAGGAGCCTGCAAAATGGGTTCGGATGGTATTTTCTAACACTTGCAAAGCCTTTGAGCCATCAGCAAAAGTTGACATAGAAGTCAGAGGTAACAGACGGGACCTATATTTATCTCCACATCAGTACTGTTAGAAAAGTAAGTGCTTTCTCCCCCAGTTATAGGTAAAAGGCACAAGAAAAATATGGCTGGATGTGCAAAAAGACTCAAATGTCACAGAAAGTGAAAATTTGAAACATGTTCAACATTTAACATTGCCTGAATAACAATGGCATCAGAAAGACATATCAGGGATGCCTTTCCTAGAAATTCCTTCTCATTTGGGGCACCTATTTGAGAAATAAAAAGTGAAGAGTCAAATTCCCTGGGGCAGAGGAGAAAGCAGAACCTACATCCCTCTCTTCCACCACAAAGATACTGGTTGGAGGAAGCAGCATCTTTCCTACTGTGTGTTTTGTGAGAATATCTAAGTCTTGGAAAGAGTTTAGGATTACTAATGTCATCACAGATGTCTATTTTATGATTTTGAGCAAGATACAGAAGTGTCTGCATCTTGTAAATAAACCTGTGTCCCTCTTCTCAAGCTCCTTGACTGATCCTCTCAGGCTATTCAGCTAACAATTCAGTACCCAATAAACTGTGCTGAGAATTAAATAACAGTATCTAAATAATCAAATTTCATCTTTCTTATGAAGACATATTTTCAGGTAATGGATCTAAAGTACTACCACTTTTCGTTCAGGAGAATTATACCAATTTTATATTTGTGTAAATTGTTTCCCCTTGATAGCAGTTTTGCATTTGTAAGTGGTTCTTCAGGGCAATGCAGAATTAAGTGCTGAGGGAAATTCTCAGTGCTCAGAACAAAGAATTGGCTCCAGGCTTACACCAGGACTGCTGAGAGGAGCAGCCCTCCACACTCTGCAATTACTCCTCTCAAGTTGCTCTTTTAGAAGAGAGAAAATTCAGACCTAAAGTCAGGAGCCTGTTTGCCACAATAGCAAACCTACATTTTATTGCCTTATTTTATTCATGAAGTATCTAGTAAGTGGAGGTGTGTATGTGTGTGCGAGGAGAGAAGCAGGGAGGAACACAAACCTTTAATGTTAACTCTCAACAAAATCTGAAAGATTCTGCTTTTATCTGCAGAGGATTTGTTTGGATTGGTAATTTCACTGACTTTGGTAATTTCTTCAATCTGTTATCTTGAATAATTATAGAAATGGATTTTTAAAAAATCTCAAAATATCATGGATAAATTCCATCTTCCACCTGGCTTGCTGGAAGTGTATACGGTATCACAGAATTGGTAAAGCATTAGAAGGTGTCATTCAGTCCTAAATAAACCTGTATTCAACATTTGAATCATCACAAACAAGTAACTGAAAGCATAAGAAAATCCTTCTTACTCACACTAAAGCAGGAACAAAGCAAGGAAACAAAACCACTAGTTTCCTGATAGTCTTTCTTTTAAAAACAGAGGCAAGAATCAGAAGTTTCACTAGATAATAAATGTGAGAAGAAAGTGGACAGCTAATCCACTCAGCTAAGTGACTGCAGCATCATGTTGAAAAAACTAAAGGGAAAGCTAAAATTTCAGCATGTATTCATGGGTATCCATGTTGCCATGGCAACTTCTCAATGGCATAAAGTATTTTCTCCTTTCTTTAGGGATTAAAAAAACCAACAAGATGCTGTTCTGCAAATAGGCACTGTGCCTTTTAAAAATAAATCCATAACTATTTCCTGTGCAAATCTATTTCTGACTTTTACTAATATAGCAGGCGTTACTTTGTTACGCTTTGAAAAGAGCCTTACATTCTGAAAAGGATACTTTATTATAGATGTGTTAGTCAAAAGGTTTCTCTTACCCTCTTCTTTTTATTTTGCATGCTTATTAAAAGTCTGAATTCCTTCACATTTCTGGAACATCTTTTTTCTTTTTTTTTTCCTTTTTTCTTTTTTTTCTCCTCTCTTTCTGTTTAGATACAAAGCTTGGATAATCAGCATATTCTGCAGCAGATCTATGACTGTTTTCTGGCTGAAGCTAAAGTTATTTTTGTTCTCTTTTGATTTTCTGGAGTAAGAGTTTGATCTCTTATTTTGTGCTACTCCAAGGAACTGTATTGACTACACTTTTTGTGCTTTCTGAAGTAAGAGAAATATCTGTTTAATGAAACTTATTCATAAATTTTTGTTTTATTTTCTGAATATATCTTTTGCAATAAATTTGTCTGTTTCTTAAATATATGCATCACTTGATTAAGTAGTATTTATGTACTGCTAGGATGGAGGAATTTAAAGAATCTGGATATGCTTATAATACCTTTGAAAAAGTGAAATTCACATATTATCTGATCCCTGCTATGCTCTTATAAAATATTATACTTCTGATTGCTTGGTCCTATCTGCTTCCCTCCACTTTGGTTAGCATATCCAGTATATTGCATTGATAGCTCCACTTGATTGACCCAGGTAACCAGCCAATTCTAGTTTCAGTTTATTCCACCTTAACACTTGTACCATTTTCATGCAATTTCATGTAACTATTTCATTCAGTGTGGCAGAGCATCAGAATCATTTCATTCTGTAAATGCATTCTAATTCAATTAATAGATGTGATCCGTATTCATACTGTTAGAAATAAACAGACCCTTTGAATATAGGATCAATATACATATCCATGGATATATCTGCTTCATGGCTACATCTATATAGTAAATTAAATGTGGTCAGGAACATTCCCGGGTACTGAGGCAAACTGACATGAAATAATCCGTGTCTATGCTAGTGAAACCTTAATCTTCCCAACAGCGTGGCTATATGCAATGTGCTGGAAATGGATCCTGGATTATTTTAACAGCTCTCCCTTACCTGGAAGAAAACTAATTGGTACATGCAAAATTCATGTCCTGGAATATTCAGGAACAGATCTGTTTGAATACAGGAACATATTGGGAATGTTTGAATTGACAGGTATAAGCCCAGCCTATATTATTCAGAGGACATCAATGATGACTAAATCCAGTTTAGCCAGCCAAATAACTCCAGTTACTCACTGCTTTGTAATACCAAAGCATTGCAGATCTGCTGGAGCTTGTATTTCTTTCAAATTCCGTTAAATGACTAAAACTGTCCAATCTTCATTTAAGAAGATACTACAGAAATAAGCAGAACAATACTATGTTTACACCAACATAATCATAGACTTCAAAGCCAGAAGGGACTGTTGCTATTGTCATGGTGGAGTATGTCTGTGCAAGTTGAGAGAAATTTGTCGTTGTATTTCAGACAGGGTAGTAGACTGTGAGCAAGTCGCCACAAACTCTACTGAGGGGCATTCCGTGTAAGAAGAAAGCTGTTCAGCTATCTGATATCGTATCACTTATGCAAATTCGTAAAGGTGGCACGATCTCAGATGGTACACAGACTACTTTTGCACTGCATTTTAGCAGCAGAAATAATTACTGAGTTTACTTCTTAATAAACTTTGTAAATTTAATCTTACTTTATCTCTGAGCATAAGAGATTACTTATTATTTTTTGTTTGAACTACTGATGTGAATAGCACAGACTTCTTTGTGCTCTAAAGGTTGTGTTATTTTGGAAGATCAGAAACTAGACAAGTTTAATTCCATGCTTTTTAACTCTTGGCTGACTTGGCTGAAAAAAAGTTATGTTTTTTATCTCAGCTGGTTCCTTGAGCAGACCCACTGTGCAGACATGTGAGCTTGCCTAGCTTTAGGTTTTTAATTAAATTGATAAGCACTACAGTCACAAAAAGATAGAGAAACAGATCAGAGCAGCTCTAAATGATGATTAAATCAATGTAAAATCTGTTGGTTTTTTTTTTTTCCCCCTCTGGAAATGCTTACTTTCTTTCCAGGAATTTTAAGGCAATCCAGCATGGCTCAGCTCTGTCCTTATGCACCTCACTTAAGCATCTAAAATCGGGATGATTCTAGCATAAGCAACTCTCCCCTTCCCTTTCCCCTCAATCTGTCCTTACCTGCCACGAGGAGAAGAATGATGCTGGGCTGAGTAAATTAGGGTTGGTGGGATGTCTGCCACCCATGTATTCATTGGTGCAGACTTCACAGAATGCAGCATCTCGCCAGTCCCAGTAGGGAATGGTGAAGTTCTCATCACCTGTTATCTTCTGGATCTCACGTTCCCAGAGCAGCAGAAAGGCACGATGCCAAGGCAGAAACCCTGGGGCTTCATGAGCAAAATCGATGTCCCTCCACACATTTGACCCTCCTAGGAGGGTGTCTCGAGAAGCATAATAATGGATCCACACAAAGAGGTCATACACGTTGATGTTTCGGAACATGGGGTTGGAGCCATTGTTCATCTGAGCATAAGTACCAGTAGCAATGACATAGTCCCGGCTGGGGGTGCTCTTTGCCAGGTTGAGGTAGGCGAGGAACTTGTCCTTCTCACTAGTGCTGAGACGGAAGATGTTTCTTCTTGTTCTCACTCGCCTTTCAGTGCAGTCGGCTCCAGAGAAACCAAACTTGCACTCACCACAGTTGAATCCCATGAAATTGCCTCTGCATTGACATGTGCGGTTGTAAAACACTGAGGGCCAGTCCTCTCTGTCATCCACTCCTGAGAAAGGGAACTGGGGCCCCAGCGGAGCTTGAGAGAGAAGGATGCTCTGGCAGGAGCCCCTCCTGGAGAGCTGTCCACATGGGGACCCATCCCCATCCCATGGAGGACAGCACTCCTTCCTCAGCAAGTTCTCAGTGTTGGTGCAGGCTCTGGGGAACTGCCCCGTGCAAAGCTGGAGGATCCCTAGCAGGAAACCCATCGCAAGCAGAGACATTCTTATAGGGCAGCAGGAGAACTTGGTGGCGTTTCGCTTCAGTGCATGAAGAGCTCCGTCCAGCCTCTTCCAATGTCCTGCTCACGCAATAAATTTCTCCACGCTGCAGGGAGCTTTTCACTGCTGGCTTCTCTTAGTGTGCACCCTGTGATATCCTTCCCCATTCCTACCCCAGGCACATTTACACACAAAATACAGTTCACAACTAATCTGATTATCACATGTTCTGGGTGAAAGCCAAGTGACTTTTCTCCCCACCCCCTACAAGTTTCAGAAATACAGGCAGTTATTATATACGTTCTTCTTCTGCCTAGCACATGACTGCTTTACTCCGTCAATTGGGGAGGAAATAAAATTAAAGTTTGGACATAGAAATAACTGTCAGCTCTTCAAATTGCTTGTTTGACTATGTGCATTAGAGTAAGCAGTTATCTAAAAAACAGATCCAGTTGAATTTGATCATTTAAATAAGCTCAACAAATATTAAAAAACAAAAATAAAAACATTTTGTGGATAAACTATCTCTTTTTACTTGGAAACAAACACAAAGTGGAATCAGATAAGGTGTGAACACGGGTCAGAACCAGAATAAAGGATATGTTGTTGCATTTTTATATTTCAATGTAAGGTGCCTTTCCCAGACCAGTGTTTGGCAAAGTTAACTTCACAGAAGATGTGCTCAACTTTTTGAAGAAAAACACATCATTGTGTTTCCTTGAAATCCACAAAGATTTGAAAGCTAACACCCTTCCCCAAAAAATTTGAATCCAAATTTACTCTGTAATTTTAAATCTGGACCTAAATTTTCTCTGCAATTTTGAGGGGAACATAGTCTGCTGACAGGCTTGTGGAAAGCACTTAAAGCAGCCACCTCCTGACCTGGAAAATACACCTTGACTGCTGCCTTTCTGCCATCAAGAAGTTTGCAAACAGCATGTCTGTGTGTTTTACTCAGTGCTTTCCTGGTCAGCCTGCTGACCACCCACATCCTCTTTCGTCTCCTGCATTAGCCTGATCAGGGTTGAGTTGTATGAAAGGCATTAGAAGTTGTTTGTACTTTGAAGCGCTGCTTGAAGAAGAGAGATAGCAGTTATTTTACTGTCAGACAAATTGCACAGAAATTATCCAGTTTTCTTCAGCAATCACTGCTATTAGTAAGATACTTTTTTATTTTTAAACATCATGAATATTTTTTCCTTATGTTTGCAGAGAATCTTAGTAGACAACACACAGGCAAATGAACTGAGAACTTTGCTGGGAAATTATGCCTTTGATTGGGATCAGCAGGTCATCACATGGCTGTGCTGAGGAGCACGAGGCACTTTAATCCTGTTGGCTTCCACGCCCCAGATATCCAAAGGGATTATCCCTGAATCCCAGTGCTAGGGAGCCTGCAGTGGGGGCACTTGGAGCAGAAAAGGCAAGGGAAAAAGTGCCGTTTCCTTTATGCACAAGCTGATGTTTACACTCATTTGACTGATTCCCCTGGTTTTCATGCTAGGTTTGTAAAATAGATTTAATCACAGAAGTGTTACTAGTTTGATTTATTATTTTCTCTGTGCCTGGCTGTTTGGAAAATCCTGGTGAACTATTTTTTTTAATGTTCCTCTCATGGGGATTAGTGTAAAACTAATATATTTGAGAAAAGAACCATCTTTGATTATAAGAATATGTGTTTTCTATTATGCACTAAAAAGCTACAGAGATTGGGAAATGCTTGAGGTAAAGCCTCAAAGCGGAGTTGGAAAGTACACACATATATACTTAGATAGAGGGCTACACACAAAAATACATTCAAAGTCCTATTCTTATACGTTAAAAACATTTTATGGTTAAATTAAAAAAAAAATCTGAGTCTTGAGCGTTGACATATGATGACTTTGAAGCAGCTGTTTATCTGAGGAATCCTCTGTGAAAATGTATGAATGAGAAACTCTGAATGGGAAATGTGATTGAGAGGTGGCATATCCCCTTCCTGATCTGCTGCTATCGAGCAGAGGTTTGTTTTCATTAACTGTCAATGATTCAGGCAGCGTTTAGAAAATCAAACTTATCATATATCACCAGTCGTAAATGTTAGCCAAATAAGAAAATACATTCTCCTATTCCCTTTTTTTGTCACAGAGGCACCAAAACATGGGACAGTCACACCTTATATGCTTCATCTGGGCAAAAAGTCTTGTCATTAAAACCTCTCGGAAGATTTTTCATCTGTCTTGTGCTTCAAGCCACCACTCCTACTTTCATTGATTTAACACAACCATATCTGACTCAGTTTGTGAATAAGCTGAATTTATTCATTTTGCCTGAGAAATCTCCCTAGACTGTCAACAACGGGTCAGCACGACTGCGCTGAATGGCTTCAGAGACCCAGTCCTCATCTCTAGGTCATTTCATTTGAGAATGGGTCAGGATTTATCCACTTAAGGCCCACAAAAGGCTAGATGGTCAGTAAAATCAACATGGTTAAGACACATCACTTTCTATATTCAAGAAAATGAAATAGGGCAATCTGGGGAGTGGCTCATGTGACTCCAAAGAATGTATCACCAGGAATTGCTCTATAGTTGGAGCTTGTAGGGGCTTTCTTCATCAGTGGAGTGGCATGGAGATCTAATTTATGTCCCTAAATCTTAACTGCACCCTCAGGTTTTCAACTAGATGATTTAAAGTGCCAGTTTCAGTAATCTTCAGAAAATATCTCTTCCAATCAAAAGATATTGAAATAAATTTCTGTTCTGGGTTGCGATTATTGAACCAGTCTCAATTTCAGGTAAAATTAGTGGATTTTCAAAATTTCCAACACTTGGATGACTCTGTGAAATTAGTAGCTCTCAAAAGTTTTTAAAATCTGTTTGTTTACATTTTTCAGGTTTTCTGTGCTTCTATAGTTCAATTATTCATGTTGAATGAAAAAAAAAGGATGAAAAAAAGGGACCGTTTTGAAATTGTAACTATTTTAGAAGTTCAGCATAAAACTGTGACAAACCAAACTGGCAGAGGGAAGATATGATAATCCATTAACCAGATAGAAAGTTTGATTCAAGAAAGTAATAGATTCAAATTATACTCTCTGGTCCACACCTGCTGCTCAGTGCTGCTCACTGTCAGTATCCTCACACACAGTCCCAAGGCACTTGTCTCCAAATGTTTATCCAAGATTTGTACAACTGGCTGTGGCCCTGCTGAGCTTCAATTTCATGCATATGAAGGACAAAACATGATTTTTTTCTTCTGTCCCATGGCCCGTGTGTCAGATGGAGCTCTCAGTCTCCTCGGTGGTTCTCCAGGAGTAGGGATGAGAGGCTGCATCATTCTGTAATGGATTTCATCACTGAGAGAAGTGCTTGCTCCCAAAGAAGCTGTACTCCTTTCCTTGATTTATCTATCAGACTAATCCTCTGTAGTACAGCTTGATGAGACCTGATGAGGTCTTTGCCTCTGAAAGCTGTAGGAGAATGTGGGCCAGGTTTAGAGAAAGATAGGTGTATCTGAGGGTACAGTTGGAACCATGAGATGGAAAAGAAAGGTTGATTTAGGTTGATGACATTTGTACTTGTCATAAATACTGTGCTGGGGTTAAAGCCAGAATTAAAAATCTGCCTCCTGTTTGCTGATAAGTGGGTGGGTGAAAATTCATGAGAGAGGACTTTATCATTAAGAGCCATGAACCAGACAGATATTTAGGCATTACACAAAGAAAGATGAAAACATTTAATTTCTATTTACAAACAGTTGTGCATAGTTGCTGAAAAAATACAAGCTTCTGATGGGAAAGTAAGTTACCAAGGTAAGTTACCAAGTTCATTTTTCTTAATCAAGGGTCGAGCAGGCTATAAATTACCACAGGTGATCTTCTTAGCCTAAGGCAAATGCTTCCTCACCTTTTGGAATATTTGAAGATAGAGTTTAAAAATCCATTTGGGCATATGTAAGGAACACAATTTCAAGCTGAAAAATGATTCTGAATGCTGTTAAGTAAACAGCTTTTAACCCAGGAGTAACATACCTAGTATTCAGTGAACACCACTCAAGTTATACTTGGGGACATTTTGGTTAAATTAAGGTCATAAAACAGTTTAAACAAGTCATTCTCCCCACCAACCTTAGCCCTGGTTTACTGTAGAAAGAATTCACAGGTGTTCTCTTCCACGAAGTTTGTTATCATGATCCACTAGGAGCACTAGTGGACCAATCATTTCCTGGCAGTAATGTGGTATGGACCATACATGAACACCCAGTTGCAGCTCTGTTGAACTAGTCAGAGAAGACAGGACCAAGGATACAGCTTTATGTTGGTTTTATGTAGCCTGCAAGAGGAGAAATGTCTTTTCTGGCAGAAGCTTGTTCTCTGGAGAGATAATATTTGATAGGGTATAAAAAAAAAGAGAGAGAGAAAAAAAGCTGCTCTGTCCTTTTAACAGCATTGAGCCTATGAGTTTTGTTATATGAGAGGTTTTATATGCCAGTGGCCATCGGATTTTTATTCTGATCCTGGGAACTCTAGAGACAGATTTAATGCCTCTGAATATAGGTACTCCAACCAATCTCAAAATACAGGCTAAATATTACAGGCAATGTGAAGGAGTCTGATAGGAATCTAAATAATAAAAACAATAAAAATAATAATAATAATTTGATTGACTTACAACCCAAAGCTAGGGAGAAAAGAAGCAGATGCAATCAGAACAACAGAAGTAGAGAAGCAGCAGCAAAAGACAAACAGGTATTTTGCCTTGTTTATAGGCGGATGATAGTGTTAAAGTAGTTACCTACTAACTTACATGATTTATGTTTTTTTCTGCAGGTCACACAAAATCAGTCAGATATTTATCAGTCTTGATGACAGAACAGCAACTACAGGGGATGTAGAAGCAATATTATCTATAATTTTATCACACTCCACCTCCAGCTCTTTGCTGAAGAACACTGCCTGGAGTCCTGGCTTTTCAGCACATGCCAGGCAGCCTGGATATCTAGGTAAGTGTGTTTGAATTATTCCTTTCAAAGGAAAAGTACCTTTTTTTTTTTTTCCTACTC